AACCCAAGATGACTAGAGCTAATAGAAGCTAAAACAGACAAATTCAGCTTTGAAATATGGGAGCTCTTTCCATTTGTCATCATGTATTGCAATGTTATTAAGAGAAATGTGACGAAATATTCATAAAACCTTTGAAATTTCCTTTACCCATCTCCTGTCTGTCTTGCTAGCATCACTGATAACATCTTCGGTAAATGACTGACATTCTTCTTTATTAATTTTGTAACCTCTTCTACAAAAGTAAATACCTGAATTTTAATTATGTAGTAAAATATGTAATTCTGAATCCAAGTAATTGTTCCAAAGTAGTTAATGTATAAATAGCTCTGAATTTCTCACACCTACTGCTTCCATTTAACGCTTACTTCCTGTGTTTCTCTTTTTGCTCTTTCTCGCACAGAACCAGAGCAAAGGGCCATATGTAGCTAGATCAAAGCAGGAGTCTGTCCAGAAAGGAGTTGTGACTCATGAGTCGTAACTAATCCCTTGATTACCCTCAGATGGTACATTTTATTTCCTTTCTTGTATCTGGCCAGCTGTTGCTCCTACTGCTGATCCTGCTGGTATTTTAGTGCTTTTATTGGCACTGCTGATGTCTTTCAGTAGTCATGTAGGAACAGAAGTAGGGATCTGGGAGAGTAGTTGCGCTCCACCCAGAGCATTCACAGCTGAGTAGCTAAGGTGGGATTGGCAGAAACATCTCTTTTCTTTCTTTCCACAACTCTTATATAGGCCTTGAATTTTTATTGTGGCAGTTATCACTTTAATATCTGAACAAATCACAGGTTAACTGAATGACAGAGCAGAGTTCTTAGTGGTGGTGGGTGTTGGCTTCTTTCTCTCCCTCCTTAGAAATCTGCTGGTAAAGGTGGAGAGAAGAGGTCAGCAGCCTTGTTTCCATCAGCACTATAATGGGAAAGACTTCAGTGCTTTTTCCAAATTCATGTTAACAATTATTTTAAAATGTTTATAAACAACTGATTTGTGTGTGTACATGTACGCTACTTATTTGCAGCTGTGATTTTCCTTTCATTTGCAATCCATTGTTGTAGTATCTATCAAGACATAAACCTTGCTTAGATTTATCACTTTCAACTTCAATACATTGTTTGAAGGAAAATGGCAACAAAACAGGGCCAGCAAAAATAGTTTAGAATAGTTCTATGCACAGAGAGACACACAGCAATAGCTGTGTCAGAGCCTGAAAATCTGTGATGGAAACCATTATAAAAGTTTCTAATATTATGCACTCAGGAAAATAATTGAGCTAAAACTAGCCATCTTTGTAAAACATTGAACAATAATCTTGTAGCTATTTCTGTACTGAACACAGACACATACAGCTAGAAAGGCTTTCCAGTTTTTCAGCAAGCAGCAAATCAGCTAAGAAAACCCAGCTTGGTGAATTTATTTCATTTATGTACATTATTGATCTAAGACTTGTTTTTCCATCTAAGCCAAAGTGACAAAAACTTCTCTGAAGTGAAGCAAGTTCAAGCACTCTCAGCCTGGTTCCCATTAAACATCATAAGAACATTGTGATTTGACATTTATCTGGCAGCCTTAAATGTGAAAGACCAGTGTAGCTAGTACACAGAAAATGGAAAGGCCTTTTTGGCACCACTAGGGATGCTTTTACCAGGTTAGGGTCAGGTGGGATGACAGAAGAGTGGAAGGAGGCAGTCTCATTTCACTGCAGACTTGAACTAAATTTGACCTCCAGGGTACCAGTGACTTACTGGGAAATTGCAAGAATGCTGTATTGCCCTTTATAGAATTATAATTTCTTGCCATTCAAAAAAAAAAAAAAAAAAAAGGTAATTAGCTAAAGGATATCTTATCTGATGTGTAACCCTCATCCAAACTGAATCAGGGATCACGCTGCTGCAATTCTTATAAAATGGAACTGTCGGAGACAATGGTGTTGGTGGCTGCGATTTGAATGTAGACCTTAAAGACTCGTGATTCCAAACTTCTTGGTGCCCTTTCCCTATCAATCAAAAGGAATCATATGAAATAATTATTAGGCTACATAATTATTTTACAAAATAGAAGGTGTTTTTACTGCACATTTCCATTTTAGTACCAATCATTACTTCCCTGAATACTAATAACAGTGTTAAGCATTAATAGCATGTTTTAAGGTAAAGGGTCAATAGTCTAAGACCTATGAAAGAACTCTGGGCATTTGCAATGTAAAAGAAACCTTTCACGGAAAAGTGTTAAATAATAAATGCATTTCTGGAGGAAATATTATATCGTGGACCATTTGGGGAGAAATGACAATTTATAGGACATCACTCAGCTGTCTCTGTTTAAAATATCCTTAATAATGCTATGGCTTTGCACTTAATACAGAGGTTAACAGAAAGCTTGCAGCTCTCTGCAGAGGTCAGTGAATATTATGCTAGCTGAGGGGAAACTGAGGAACATAAGTAACATTGTACATGATCACTCAGTGCACGAGTAAAAGGAGAAGGTTGTGAAGTGGTAAATCAGTCCTCTAAGTGCAAGACAATTTGGCTTTTTCTTTATTTCCAAATAGTAAGACATTCTAATATTTCTTTTGAGGATAGGATATGCACACAGGATGGTGAACTTATTCAGAAAAAGTAAAGGTGCTTGAAACTTCTGTATCAAGCTTGTTTAAGCGAAGCAATGTGGAGGGAAGAATTAGAAATACTTGACATCAGTTTGAAATTTTTATTTATGCTTTCATACACACATCGATGTTTTCTGGGACCAGAACTGAAGTCTCAAGAAAGAGGCAGCTAAAGCCTGAAATCTCCTTGCCACGTTAAAATCAGTGAACGGATTCTTCATCAAACAATCATCTACCCTCCATGTCATTGTATAAATGCCACAATTTATTTATTTTGGGGTATACTCCAAATGTTTTTTCAGGGTTTAAATATGGTATGACTAATTAAGGCCCCAACAAGCTAATATGGTTCTCCATTAACTTTTTCTCTCTGAACTGTGCAAATGTATTCCTCTGGCTAGAGCAGAAACTATAGTGGACTATCTTCTTTTCTTTATTAGCCCTTATTACATATAAGTCTATTTAATTCTATCCAGTGACTTGCAGTTCTGCAATAGGCTAAAGCAGCACCCACTTCTGATGTAGGCACCTTCCTTCAGCAGAATATGCAGCTTGTTAAATGCATAAAACCTTTGTGGGGAAAGGGCAGAGTGCTGGGTTAAAATTTGGACTGATTCAAAGCTTTTTTTTTTGGTATGTGAATTGAAATAAGTAGGTCTGAGATAAATTAATGGATTTATTTGCTGCATGATGTAAGTTTTAGGTCCCCTCATTTCTGTAGTTGAATATGCATCCCTGCATTCAGTATGCATATTCCCTTTGCTATTGCAAGGCATCTCAAGCTAGGAACCAGCATACTGAGCAAGGAGACACCTAAACTAATAAATATGGAAATAGAGAAAAGGGTATGACTGAAATGTCCTGAGAAGATGCAATTTCTCCAGCCACTCTGGATTCATAACCTTGAACCTGAATACCCAAACCCTGTCTTAGCAGCACTGAGAAGGAATCACTCCTATAAAGCATGTTGAAGGAAGAACTGCAATTTCCCATTTACCACTCTGCTGAATAGTTGCTGAGGAAATGGGTAATGTGAGTTCAATTGCAGGGGATCCAAGTGAGTCAGAGAAGTAATAACAGAGGTAGTTGTCATCTGCAGGCAATATACTTAGGACACCCCTGCCAGAAAAGGAAAATGTCCTAAGCTTATGCTTCAAAACCCTTTTGTTTATTTAATGAAAACTTTATGTAAAATATGCTCCACCTAAATCTCCTTGAATCTAGCCCCAAATCTGCATTTCACAACTTTTTGTTTCTTTTTAATGCCTAGCCAGAAAATCAAAATTTATGATGCTTGTAGACCACATGAAACCAATGTTTACTATTCCAGTGGAGCAAATTCTTTTCCCAACACTCAATGGATAAACAAGTTTCAAGTGAGATCGGGACTCCTTAGAATTCTTTCTGGTTCAGGTTTGTCCTACAGGTCTGCTCGTGTTTTCCTTGAGTACCACAACTCCCACATGAGTCAAGTATTGCCTATCCCCACTTGACAGTGGATTTTGTTTTTAACAAGCAGCACCTGTTGAAATACACCTGAACTTGCTGCTAGGCAGGAATGGAGAGGACAAAGAAGGACAGCTGCAGCAGCCAACATACAAGTCTGCCAATATTTTGTACAAATAGAAGTAGATGGTTTGTTGCAGCACAGAAAGTTTGGTACTTGATATGTCCTGCTTACCACTTTTTTTTTTGTTTTTTTTTTTTTGTTTTTTTTTTTTTTTTTTAAATTATGTTGGTTTAATGCTGAAAGTTACCTGCTCCCATTTTTGGAGCGTGTGAAGTTGCTTTTTGAGAGCAAGTTTTACCCACTGTTATGACATTGAATCTGAGTGAGGGGTTGTCTGTAGTGAAGTTGTTCTGTATGCTACTGTTGCTGAGTTTTCTCATGTGTATTCATTATCAGAACTTATGAAGTAACATCAGTAAGACAAAAAAGTATGTGCCTACTCTTCTGGTGTCTAGCAGCAATTATTTTATAATGCTATAGAATACATATCTGACCGGTAAAGAGTTAAAGAAAAAATGAATCCTGTAAAAAAAATCAGGCCATCGTATAATGCCTCCTCATTGCTATAATGATATCAGTTGCAACAAGTCCAATGGCTGACCTCATTACAAGGGTTTAATTGCATTGTTACACAGTTTCACTTCTTCTCTCTGGCCTCTTTCTCTTTATGACAGCTTTAGAAAGGAATTTCAGCTTGAGGTCAAAGGAAATTAATTACTGCTTTCTTAATCTGTGCTCATCTACATTTAGAAAACTTGGGGCTTTTCACTAACATATTTGTGTCTCATTTCTGTGTAGACCCAAAGTTATAAGACTTTTGTCCTTTGTGAAAGTGCATAAATAGCTTTTTTCATATCACAGGCCAGATTTTTTTCATGTCATTTACAGTTGTGCACATGTGGACTGATGCCAATGGAACCAATGGAATGTCTCTGGGTACACATTCACTGGGACTGAGGTAAGGCACTTGCAATGTAACTTTAATTCAGACTAAAGATTCTAGACAGATACCGGGTGTGAAAACAGCAGCAACAAAATGAACACAAACAAACAAACAAAAACCCAACAACAAAAGAAAATTCAGCCAATCAAACAAATATAACTAGAATAAAATCAGAAACACAATCTTCAAAATTAATGGTAGCTAATTCTGTTGAGAGGATTTTTAAAAAAATGTTAATCTATGATATTAGTTTCTGCCTGTTAGCTACCTCCTGTTTCTGTTAAATGCATCATTGAAGAATAACCAGTTAAAGAATATCCAGCTCATGCTTCAAAGAACTTGCAATCCAAACAGCACGTGACCCAACGTACTGGCATCAAAACAGTGAGGAGGGAGACAAAGACAAGGACACCATAATTATAGTCCCTGGTTGAAAAGCAAAAATGTGCAAAACATGGTTAGATGCTGTTGTAGCATGAAATGTGAAAAATAAAAACTTGGAAACTAGGGCCCAAATCCTGTAATCCTGAAGGTCATTTGAATTGATCCTTTCTTCTTCCACAAACTGACTGATTTGGAGAAGAACCAAACTGCTTCTTCGGAAGAAAATAGTTTTGTTAATTCACTTCTTGAGGGAGTTGATTTTGAAGGGAAAATAGAATGAGAGAGATCTCTGGGGTAATTTGATGAATTAACTCTGAGGGAGGGTATGCCGTCCACCAAGGATAATCTGAACAACACGCAATATAGTGTGGTCTAGTAGTATAAATCCATAAGAAAGTGTTATGTTCTATCCATGTGCAAAACTACAGTACAAAAAATACATTTTTCTGCTGAACATAAGTATCTCTGCATTTACTATGGAATTCTGATTAGAAGTCATGGAAGTGTTGGCAAAGATGGAAAAAATGATAAGTTTTGAGCCCCTTCCCATGGAACACTGAAAGTTTCACAAGCCTGTTTTCCAACTTTTGATCAGCTTTGCCACCCACTGAAACTCCCGCTACCAGAACTCTGTGTGCTGTTAGTTGATTAGCTTCTGCCTCATTCTCCTCTTGCAAGCAGTAAGATTGGCAATAACAAAACTGCATCTGCAAAGCAAAGACAGCTCACTGAATATTTTGCCTTTCATCTATCTTGAGTGAAATTCAGCTCAGTTAGTAATGCCTGCAGAAAGAGCAAGATTTCATATAGGTCAGTGGCAAGCCCTGAACATGAGACCTACACGCATTAGAATTTCATTCTCATGATTGCCCAGTTTGTAAAACAGACCATGTATGTCTTGTGATCTTACCACAAAGCATTATGGGGTAGAAATTGAATGTTTCAAGCCAACCATACACAGCCATGTGTACAATTGTCTTATCCATGTTGCTGTTTGGAGCACTGTGACAGAAGCCATGACACCCTGGGGATAGGTTGAGTTTGAACTTCCTCATATTACTCTAGAGTTTCTTCCAGGCCACGCTGATTTTAGATTTCATTTTAATCAGTTTGGATACCAAGCAAGCTTGAAGTTCCGCAGCGTTTCAGGCTGAAGACAGAGATACAAGATACAAGGATACAGGATACAAGAGACAATTGATGCTTTAACCATGAATTTCACTGAAATCTAGTAGCCATGCTGAAAAGAGGTCCTGAGCAAGTCTAAACAGTGAATAAGCTTATGACACTGTTTACAGCCATTAAGAGATGTAATATCACAGGTAAATGTACCTGAACTAGATTAAATCTGAGTATCTTGGGTAACAATAGCAGTGAAGTAACAGCCACATGAGCTTCGGTAGGCAATAGCTACTTGGGTGAACAGCTAAAGTTGCTTGAGCTTGTGCTAAGTCTTTCCTAAGGTGTATGTTGAAAATGCTACGTTGGTACTGATATGCAAGGAACTTAGATCAAAGGTAGTTCTAATCATGCTCTAATTGAATTTTTGATTTTGTAAAAGAGCTCCCCTTGGAGGGCATGGACTAAGTCACTACATTTCAGTCTTTGAGTTATTCCACTTCTTGGGACCAAGAGTTTTGGTACATCGATTGTCCAAGATGAATGTCGCATTGAGGTGTGAAAGGATGAAGTTGAAAGGCCTACTTAACACAGACATGGCACTGGTGACAGAATTAAGTGGTAATGATATATAACAAAATGCTATTACATGAAATAGGATCTTTTTCACACAGTTTTTCGATTTTGTCTGATAGGAGTAGAAGAACAAAATGAAAAACTATTCATCAATCAGAGGTCTGGCTAGGTCAGACACTTTGGTCAAGCAATGTGAGTAATTCTACCTACCTGCACTATAATTTATTGCAAAATTAATGCCATAACATGCAAAGCCATTGTTACACAAAATTCTTAACCCCAAGAAAAAAAAAAAAAAAAAGCAAATTTTCTTTCTTTTTCTAGCTCTTTTTTTTTTTTTTTTTTTTTTCTTTTTCTCTAACCTGACAAGATTAAACCGTTTTAGTAAGTGGGGGTTTAAGGATGATTCACTTCTAATGATTAAAAAAGGGACCTTGAGGAGAGTTTGATAGACTTTCTCAGTCATTGACTAAACCAAGATATATTAAAAAGGGGAACAAAAGAGAGTGCAAGGTATTCATTTTTGTTAAAGTTTGCCTGCTTCATTACAACAGAATGAAATCAAGTCTTACTGGGAAGAACAAGCTTTGATATACTCTACTTTCTGTGAAAATTTTCAGGACAGTTTATTCTTAACCAGATTAAAATGCACTAAATCACCAATTCACAGTCTTAATTGCACTGTTATGAGCTGGGGAGATGAATGGCATATTCTTATTTTTAAAATGTTTAAAATTATAGTTTGTTGTAGAAAAGGTCACTTATGCCTGGTGTTTGATTGGCCTTGATTACTTCTGAAAATTAAAATGTTATATTAACTGTGAAGCAATTTGTAGTTTCTAAAGGTGTTCTAAGGTTTTCATTAAGTATCCTACATGTCTGCAGGAGGGACCAGGAAATGAGTGGAAACTTAAAAATACTCAACATGTCCAGAATTCATAGCAGATCCTCACAGAGCTCTCTTGTGAACATTATTATATCCAATCCCCAGTAAGAGAAACAGGTTGACAGAAAGGGCCAGCCCCTTTCTTAGAGACTTGTGGGTATTCTTTGAGCTGCACATTTTGTTATTCTTGTCCAACAGCTTTCCTGGTATATGCTGTATTCTGCCATGCAATGTGAAGAGGAGCCAAATCTTGTAAAACTCTAGGGAGCAAGATCAGGAAAGAGCATGCCTCATATATGTGTCTCCTCTTGTTATGCCTCCTGCATAGTTTGAAGGGTGTTGACACAGATAAGATTATTTATCTTCCTCTCTATTCTGCCACTTCATTCCTCCATCTCTTTTTTTTTTTTTTTTTTTTTGTATATATAGTGAAACTGTTACTGTCAGTTGAAGGTAGGTTAACAGGAGGAGGTAGAGTCATTCTTTGCAGAGGATTTGCCCATGTTGCATACAGTTTCCTTGGGATTGCCTGAATGAGAATAGATTTAGGAGATGGAGCCTGAGCAGAATGAATCTGAATAGGAAGGAAAGGAGTAAGGAGCAACTCCTGTAACTATGAGGCAGCTCCAGTTGTGCTGATGTACATTTCATGTGCATTTCATTTTTTTTCCTTATAGAAAAAAAAATCCTTACCTATTTACTCTGTAAGATACTCAGGCTGTCTGGTTTTGCCATTTATGTAAACTAAGTTAAGGGAAAAATGAGGGATAATTTAGGATCAGGAGTTAAATCAGAAGTGTTGCTATAATTGCTAAATAACTTTTCAGGAGAAAAGCAACGGATACAGATTCCAACATGGAAGCAATCAACTTTGAACTAATTTGTTATGGTTTTCCTTTTAAGTGAAGGTGAGACAGACATAAACAGTAGTGAAGTGATGTGGTTTCTGCATAGAATAATATCTTACATATGAGAAAAAACAAAAACAAAAACAACCACAAACATATAAAGGGGAAAATATTGCAAGGATATTGGCATTGCCAAATCTTCTTTTCCTGTATTGTTTCTTTTGAAACTTCCACTCAAGGGTTGCAGACTGCAATATCTGGTGACCTGCATAAATCTGTACAGCAGCTAGTATAGTGGTGTGATTCTATTATCTAGACTTCACATCTTACCTGCTGGGAACTTTCAAGAAATGATGTTATAGTGCAAGTAATGCAGTTTTCTTTTTTTTGTTGTGGCTTTCTTATAAATATTATGGTAGAAATCTTCAAACATACAAGCTCCACCTGCATGTGTGTATACATGGAATTGCATCTGAAATTTGGTACTTGCAAACACCTGTAGAACAGTCTTCATTTTATACAAATAAGCCCTTACATCTACTAGCACCCACATGCTGACTGCAGTTAAAGTTTGCTGCCCCAAAAGCTCATCTGGAACTATTTAAGAAGACGTAAGCACAGGGCTTTGAATTGGATTCCTGAACTTTGCACAGTCTGGACAAAAGTTTTAGCAACCATTTTTTAATAACCTTTCATTTTTCAGTTATTTAAAAGGCACATGCGAATCTCACCAATTTTTGTTGATGCAGCGTTGTGTTGTAGGTTTCATGCAGTTGCACATCTGAATGACAGTTGAAAGTCTTACCCAAGTTTTCTGGGGTAGTTTAGGAAAGGTATAAAATACACACTGTACTGCCCCCAGCAGGTAGGTAGAAGTACAGGTGTTGGGAACACCTCCTGGATGTGTCATGCTGAGCGCTATTCACAGTGTTTAAAAGAACCTAAACTTTGGCACTGGGAACCGGTAACATCTTTTGCAAGAACCTTCACCTGTGCAATCCCCATTGCAGAGTAAGCTTTTTGCTTTTAGGTAATGCCTATTTCATCTTGTAAAGACACATATGAAATAAGGGCTGGCATTAGCCACATATCCATAAAAGCCTAGGAACCAAGAGTATTATCTTTATTCACAAGAAGTATAGCACTTTTAAGGTTCAGAAACATATATAAAAATTGGGTTCTGAAATGGTCATTTTTCCTCT